AAGTCAGAATTGCAAATTTATATAAAGCAATACTGAGGAAAAAAAACAGTTAGAATTGTTTTTGTTTTATTTTTCCAGATTGTTTGATATCCACCAAAGCAAATCTTACTAAACATATCCAGGTCACATTTTTTTTAACCTCAGAATCAATGTAAAATACTAATTATATTATGCTTAAAAAAAATTGTGCATATTTTTTGCAGCAGTCAAGAGTAAATGTATGTTTGCAGCTGAACTCCCATAGAAACAAGTGTTGCAATGCAATCAAGTTTAACGCGAAATCATTACAAATCACATTTCAAAGGCCTAGTATTTCCCACAATTCTCAGTGTGAACCCTCAAATGGTTAAAGGTGGATTCAGCAAGATCTCTAACAGATTGTTGAGTCTGTATCGGCACTTTTACTGATCTCTGCATCTAAAAAGGGTGCCACTTTCTGCCACAGACCAAATTGCACAGAATGATTTAAGAATTGTCGCAATCGAATGACACACTCAACTCATGTGGTGGGTTCTGACAAATGACTCATTTATAACTGACTGAAAGAAACTGTATGAGATAAAAGGGCTACCATTTAAGTCAACATCAAATCAAAATTTTAGCTTATGAAAACAATGTCTGCAAGAAATTCACATCCTGATATAATCAAACAGATTAGACGTTACGAAAAATGACTGCATCATCTCTAAAACCACTGACAAGTCTTCTCAGCCAAACGACAAACGCTGAAGATGTTAAGAGGAAATTGTTGAGGTGTGTTACTGGGAAACGACCCACATATACAGGCCAGCAGACTTCCTCCATGCAACAGTGCGCTTTACTGAAAACCGGAGACTGAGCGCTTATCTTTACTTTATCAGCATCCTTGTAAGCCAACCAAACCAGAGTAAAAGCCTCTCTCTGAGCCGATTACACCAACAAGCCCTAACACATTTACACACTGCATGCAAAAAGCACACACGTGTTTCTTGTTAAAAATGCATGCAACCTAATCAAGATCATTCAGTAATCTGTGCATGTATCTTTTTATTATTTAAGCAACTGCGTGCTCTTTGTTCTGAGCTTCAGCACGTTTTTCAGTCAAAGCAGGTTTATTTTCCCATGACTTGTAGATCATGTACGTGGAATTATAACAAGCAGAGCAAGTGGAATCTGCGGTGTAAGTTTTTAAAGAGGTGACTAAAGAGACAGAGACAGGGCTGTTTAACAAGGCTTTATTTACATTCTTACTTGATATGTGGTAAAGTACGCGGATGTGTTCTAGTTAAACTGTGATGTACGTGAACTCCCCACCTTCTCAATCTAGACCACAAGAAAAACTAGCTATAAAAATGATTCGACATTACACTGGATACTTCCGTTCTAGACAGCACTTGCGGTAGGCAGCTTATCACCCTATGATGCTGCACACTGGGTTATGATGGCGAGAACTGCGGTCTTTGTAGGGTTCGTTGGGTTTTTCCAGATGCTTATGTCCAACAATATTGTCTATGTAGGCACTGTAGATGAATAGACTTCGCCTATGCCCATCATGCCCAAAATGTTGCCTAAATAGACAGCCCACTATATTTTAAGATACCTACACTCTTAAAAATAAAAAGTTTCTTTATTGGCATCAAGGGTTCCACAAAGAACATCCACAGAATCTTTTCATTCCACAAAACTTTGAAGTGGAAAAAGGTTCTTCAAACTAAGAAAAAAATTCCATGTCTATTGTTGCACACTTTGTTTTGCCAGTCCATGCAGGCAGTATATTATGCTTTATGATGCCATCTAGGTAGGCAGGTCACTCGGTTTTTCCCAAAAACAGGCCATCTAGATTGGCAGTATGCTGGGTTTCGCATATGCCCATTATGACAAGATACGGTCTAAGTTGAGTGGTGCTTGTGCCCAAAATGCTGTCTAATGAGGCAGCACACCATGTTTTAAAGGAGTGGTTCATTGCGATTTCACTTTTTTAATGTTAGTTAGTGTGTAATGTTGCTGTTTGAGCATAAACAATATCTGCAAAGTTACGAAGCTGAAAGTTCAATGCAAACGGAGATATCGTCTTTTAAAATTCAGGCAGTTTAATGCCTACAAAAACGGCTAGTAGGGACTACAACGAGTTACTTCCCGGGTTGGTGACATCACAAACCCAGATAAACCCCGCCCTCGGGAAAAGGCAGCAAAGGGGGCGAGGCCATGCTGCGCTGCTTTAGAGAAGAGGAAGAGAAAACGTCTCCAGGTTACGTATGTAACCATGGTTCCCCGAAGGGAACGAGACAC